GCACCTGCTTCGTATTCGGGTTTTTCTGTGGGAGGGAATAGGTCATGCTACCTTAGTTTATCTAAAATTCCCTTTGAGTCTGATCCAGTAAAGTTGATACAATTGTTGCAAGACTGGTTTTTGCTAAACTCTGGAGAACTCACAGTGGGAGCCGTGAATGTGGCAATACAATATATCCCCACAAGTGGAATCAGAATTACCCCAGGAAAAGAGACAACAGGTGCATTCCCAAAAGACCATCTGATGCCACTTCTCTGCAGGGACTGTGTCAAACGGCAATAGGGGCTTGGCTCCCGAAAGTCCCAGGGACCTCTGCTTCTAGTCTGTAAAGTCAGTCACTCCCCTCCTTGCTACAAAATGTCTACCTTTACATTTGCAACCCTCACAATCAGTCCTGATAACAATTATTCACTGTTGTATCACAGGAGACCTATCCGCATCTCCTTTCATCAGTCCCGCCTAGACAGATTGGATACTGCTCAGTGGAGATTCTACCTCCCTCCATGCCCTCTGGATCTAGGGTCCCTCTTGGAAGCTTGGAAGCCAGTCACTTCTTCCCTTTGTAGCCCTCCTCCCCTCCCATTTTGGGTAACCAATATGTGTTGGTAGTTTTTCAAACAAGATGCTGTCAGTGAGAAAATGAACGGCATCAGTGAAGAACAAAGCGGATAGTTGTTCCCTAGAGCAAATCTCGTGAGAGCACAGAACCTGGTGTTATGTACCTGTGGAATCTCATGTCCCAGGAATGGCAGCCTCACCTTTTGTTCTTAGACATGTTGTAGTCTGTGCTGCTTTGCTGACCTAGACTGTGTGGGATGTTTTAGGGTACAATGATCATTGAAGATGTGGCTGTGGTCTTCACCCATGAAGAATGGGATTTGCTGGATCCTGCTCAGAGGAAACTCTACAGAGACGTGATGATGGAAACCTGGAGAAACCTGGCTTCAGTCGGTATGAATGGCATCTTCCTTTTTCTTTTTTTTATTCCTTTAGTGAACAAAAATATTTTACTCATCAACTGTGCTTGCTTATATGGAATGAGCAATGGGAACACCCTGTAAAATAAAAGGCATGGTCCCCTTCTATATAGACCTCATGCATCCAGGATTCCCCTAATACAAAGCTCTGTGCACTGAAATGTGCTTTCATTTCTCTTGTGAATAAAAAAGCCTTGGGCCCCTCTAAGTGCCACCAGTAAGCATTGACTTCAGAGGACACTTTCATGCGCTGAGAGACTTTTCCTGTGTGTGCCTTTCTGAGACATTTATTGGGTTTCTGACAAGTTTGATGTCATGATTTTGATGCAAATAAACTCACATCTCAATCTTTAGAGCTTCTAGAAAACAGAGCACTATCTCGGTGACAAGGAATCTTTCACTGGTCATCAAGGTCTTCCTTGTGATGTACATTTCTCCATGAGCTCCATGTTGTTGTGAACTGTCATCACCTTGGTTTCAATGCTGAGGGAACTTGTGTACATTTTCCTAGAGGTGACTGGGGGATTTATCCTACAACACCACATTGGGACTCCTGAGCTCTGTGGTAGCTCTACCCATTTGTTTTCTCAGAGAAGCTAAGGAAAAATCTGTGGAGACTGGAAATCACAGTCACTGAAGCCCATGTGTCAGGAAGCCCGAGGAAATGTAATTTTAGCCCGTTAATGAAGGAAATCAGTTAGCTTCAAAAAGTTTCTTTTGGCTTGCAGACCCAACTTCACAGATACCTGAACTTATTCTGTTGATTTTAGTTGTCCTTTTGCACCTGTGGACATGGAGACCCTTTCCCTTTGTAACGTTACATGTGTGGTATGTCTAATTCCTTTCTACTTAGCTCTCCTAATGATACCTGTGTATGTTACTGTCCCTCTCCATCCTGATCAAAGTATTTCCTAGTACGTTGCATTTTAAGACTTGTCAAAGTGCTGGAATAGCAAAATGGGGCTGAGTCTTTTTTACTAGGAACCTCTGTTTCCTCTAATCATTCCCATTTGATTCTAATTGTGGACTTTAACCTGAATGATTGGATCAGTGGCTGGAAACATTAATGATGGAGAAAAGTTACCCAGTGAGCATTTAATTTTACTACATCTGAAGAGTAACACCTGTTTATTATGCATTGCAGGTGCAATCAAGAAATCACATGGCTGGAAGGATCACCTTCACAACCAGGGGAGACATTTGAGGTGAGTGTGATGCAAACAACAGAAATTAGTGCTTCACAAAATCTCAGGAGGTGTCATAACATCAGAATACACTGAAATGAGGGGCTCCAAATAGTTCATGGAGAACTCCATCGTCTTTCAATTGCATCATTCTGTGAACAATTTTGATTGAGTAATTGCTGGACAAATGAAGATTGCATATGCATTTCCCAACAGTCAAATCTCTTTCCTTTTAAATTGTGAGTCAATTAAGAAACCGTCAGTAGTGTGCCATTCAGATATGGTGGCAGGCTGAGCAGCTCTAAATGTTTGTTGATCTCCAGAGTCCTATGACATATCCAGTCTGTGATATAAGACTCTTGGTATCCATGCAGGTGTTTGGTGTTGCAGGAGTGTGTAGAGCGACACGTTCATATGGGTGGTTTGCTCACCATCCTTGAATGCAGTATCAGTGATTGTTTCTTCATTAAATTCAAATTCTATTAAAACAACAGTTTTGAATGCTGTGCAATCTGGACACTTCTCTCATTTATGTTGGAAATTGCTGAGTCGTTCCAAAGTGTTTTGAATCCCTGAAGCCGACTGATATATATGTGTTGTGTTTGCCGAGTCAGTTCTGACTTTTAGCAACCCTTTGTTGACTTTCCAAGGAGTACGTGTTGTTCCGTGCCATGAAGTCGTTCTACTTTGTAGGTCCAATCTAGCTTGCCTCCTAGTGTTAATCCTTCATCAGGAACCATGTGTATATGTGTATATTCCTGGTTGTAAAACGATGGGTTCCATGAAAATTCACATAAGAATGTTTTAGTAAGTATTAGTTAGCGAAATGTTTAAAGCATATTTCACTTGGACACAATGAGTAGGAAGTCTTATACATTGATGGACATGGTAGTCGTTGTTCTAGATGAATCTTGAGACCACTCAGGAAAAAGACATGCGTGTTCACTGTGTTCGGTAATGCTGTCATGCGACAACATTTGTTTCCAACATGATAACTGACTTTTTGTTTCATGTCTCCTTGTTGAAAATGGAGTAGTTTGCAGAGGACACCATTGGTTTACATTTACACTACCTGTTTTTAACAGAATTGGTGGAATCAAGAACCTGGGTGAACGTTGTGAACACAACCAGTGTGGGGAAACCTCCAGCCCGATTCCTGGTCTTTCTGTGCACCAAATAGATCCCACAGAAGTAGATCCTTTTGAATGCTGTGAGTATGGAGGAGCCTTCCTGGATGATTCCCTAGAGAACAATCGTAGTAGAGCTCACACTGGAAGCAGTACCTGTCAGTGTACAGACTGTGGAGAAGACTGCAGGTGTCCTTCTCCTCTGACCACGCCTGTGAGCACCCATGGTGGGAAAAATACTCATAAATGTAAGATAAGTGGAGACAGGCCGCATGAATATACGGAGTGTGGGAAAGTCTCTGGTGAAGCTTCACTCCTCCCTGGACTTATAGGAACTCACAGTGCACAGAGGCCATTTGAATGTGAAGAGTGTGGGAAATCCTTTAGGGATTCCTCACAGCAGGGTCGACATTTGCAAACTCACAGTGGAGATAGGCTCTATGAATGTAATCAATGTGAGAAAGCCTTTAGCCGCATCTCAATGCTCACGAGACATAAAGCAGTCCACAATGTAAAGAGGCCTTATGAATGTAAGGAGTGTGGGAACACTTTTAGGTGTACCTCAGAACTGAGTGTACATAAAAGAATCCACAGCGGAGAGAAGGCTTATGAATGTAAGCAATGTGGGAAAGCCTTTAGACGGTCCTCACACTGCAGTAGACACATGCCAACTCATAGTGGAGAGAGGCCCTATGAATGTAAAGAATGTGGGAAAGCCTTTAGAACAACAGCACATCTTACAGGACATAGAATAATCCACAGTGGAGAGAAACCTAATGAATGTAAGGAGTGTGGGAAAGCGTTTAGAACAACTTCACAACTTACAAGACATAGAAGAATCCACAGTGCGGAAAGGCCCTATGAATGTAAGGAGTGTGGGAAAGGCTTTCTAATACCCTCAAGACTCAGAACACATAGAATAATCCACAGTGCAGAGAAGCCTTATGAATGTAAGGAGTGTGGGAAAGCGTTTAGAACAACTTCACAACTTACAACACATAGAAGAATCCACAGTGCGGAGAGGCCGTATGAATGTAAGGAGTGTGGGAAAGGCTTTCTAACACCCTCAAGCCTCAGAACACATATAGTAATCCACAGTGGAGAGAAGCCTTATGAATGTAAGGAGTGTGGGAAAGGCTATCTAACACCCTCAGGCCTCAGAACACATGCAATAATCCATAGTGGAGAGAGGCCCTATGAATGTAAAGAATGTGGAAAAGCCTTTAGAAAAACCGCACATCTTACAGCACATAGAGTAATCCACAGTGGAGAGAAGCCTTATGAATGTAAGGAGTGTGGGAAAGCCTTTAACAGAAACTCACACCTTAAATCACATAGAGTAATCCACATTGCAGAGAGGCCCTATGAATGTAAGCAATGTGGGAAAGCCTTTAAAACAACTGCAACCCTTAGAAGTCATAGAAGAACGCACACTGAGGAGAGGCCCTATGAATGTAAAGAATGTGGAAAAGCCTTTAGAACAACCTCATATCTTAAACTACATAGAATGATCCACAGTGGAGAGAAGCCTTATGAATGTAAGCAGTGTGGGAAAACCTTTAAAAGTACCTCACAACTTAAAAGACATAGACTAATCCACAGTGCAGAGAGGCCCTATGAATGTAAGGAGTGTGGGAAAGCCTTTAGAGCAACTGCACACCTTAGAAGACATAGAAAAATCCACAGTGCGGAGAGGCCCTATGAATGTAAACAGTGTGGGAAA